TTTACCACGTCATCTGCTGGGCACCTTCTGTATGCGAGTTACCCAGGGCTTGATGAAATTTCACAACAACCTCTGAGCCAAGAACTATCATCCTTATCCTACAGTGGGGAAACTGAGGCTCAGAGAGAAGTCAGTCAGGGTAAGTGAGCCACTGAAGGGGGGCAATTCAGCCAAAGGTCTGTCTTTAAGCTGGCACTGTCGTTTCCAGCTCTGGTAACCTGCCAGATGTTGGGGTAAAAACCACTGCAGGGAAACAGACAAGGTGGTGGGAATAAGGGACATTCCCCCTTGGAAGGGAAGGCTGAGCGGGAGGCCTTTCAGGGCCAACTGACCCCCCACTCCCCCTCAGGAGGCTGCCACTCCACCCCTGAAAGAATCCAGAGCACATAGGGGGAGCGGTGGGGGGTGGGGGGAGAAAGCCTCAGCATCTGTGCCTGTGAGTCAAATACCCCAGTGGACAGGACTGGGCCAGGGCCACAGCAGGCCTCGCACATGGTAGCAGCCAAGGGCTGGGTGACACCTGCCCCGCCCAGCCCACCGCCAGCACACGCCCTCCTCCAGGTCTGTCGGGGCTGTCTTTCCCCCCTGCTCCCGGAGCCTGGTGGGGCAGCATGAGCCAGCAGGGGAGGTGGAGTTCTTCTAGCTACCGACTCAGAAAAACAGGGCTCTTTTGAAAGAGGTTTCAAGTTGGACACGGGTTCAGGCAGCCGCTACGCATGCCAGCCACGGATCATGAGAGGAAGCGGCCTTGCAGCAGCCACAGGGCCAGGGGAGACCCCGGGGGGAGGGAGACCCTGGCCTCAGACAGCCCTGAGGTCCGGGCAGCTCCTTGGGTCCGACTGAGGCTGTCAGAAGGACAGCGCCAGAGCGTGCCCAGGGCTTCCCGCCCCCTCAGCCAGGATTTGCCCCTCTGCTCACACCAGGACGGGCCCAGCACGCCTCAGACATTCCTGCAGGTGCACGTGGCTTTGCGCTGACAAACAGGTCACTCTCGTTGCATCTACTCATCCCTAAGTTCACGGAGCAAGAGTCAGGGCAGAAGGACCCCACACGATCCAAACCTCTGCCTCTTGGGGAGGACGGCACGACGGCCACGTGCTCTCCCTGCCATGACGCTGGGTAGTCGTGACAGTTGCTCACTGCCAGAGGCACCCCGCGCCTCCCCACCTCCCCACGCCTCCTGAAACAGGTCCCAGGCTGCCTCCAGTTCCTACCGCTAGGGTTACTGACCGGCTGGTCTCATTTCAGGTCCTGGAATTACGATGCATTGCTGGACCCGCATTCATCTGAAGGAGGGGGCAGAGCAGCCACACGGAACAAGTCTTGTGCTTTTTATTATTCTTTATTTATTGGTCCTACCACGTGACCCTTACCAGGCCCATGTTCCTATGTGCACTGGCTTTGCAGACATTTGCACCAGACGCCCGTGTCCCAAGTCGAGACTGACCGTTCCTTCCTACTCCTTTTCCAGGCTCTGCCTCACTTTCTCAGAATTAGAATGCGTTTTTGTTTGTTTGTTTGTTTGTTTGTTTGGGTCTGTGTAAAGGTTCCTTGGCAGGAGAACATGCATATGATCTTAAAATAAAGACAACATTCTGACACTAAGGTAATGCACAGAAAAAAATACAGTACTCAGACATCATTGCAAATAAATACCCCATACAGGTGAAGTTATTGTAAATGTAACATTATTTCTTATGGACCGACACTGTAATAGAAGGTAAAAATAGGGGTCCCTACAACTAGGAAGAAGAAATGCTTATTCCAGGAAACAGAATTCTTTGACCCTTGCTACTTATATATTATTATAATTTGTCCTTTATTTTGGAGAAGAGAGGACACTTTCTTCTTCTGTGAGTACCAATTTTACCGTATACACAGCCTCACCCAGCAAACCCGACGGGACGCAGCCCTGGACTGCTGAGGGGCTTCACCGAGTTCTGTTTCCTGAAATTAACAGCGATTAGTTACACCAAGCAAGAGAATACAGAACGTCTCTTCCTCACATTTGCAAAGAATACTACGGCTAGCCCTCACCCCTGCACGAGGCCGACAGCCGGCGCCCCTGCCGCCCGCTCTTCACAAACATGGCGTGTCGTCCACACCGCTGGCTTAGCTTGTCCCTCAAGTCCATTTGGTTCCCAAAGCACACTCGAGGTGTGTGTTCACTTTCCTTTTCTCAGCCCCTGAATTTGCAAGGATCTGCACAGTAAAGAATCACTGACTAACAGAATTTTGCACAATCGCTGTTTTCTTTCCCTCGATGAAGATGCCCAGGTTCAGGTATGAAGGTGCGCACCCGTTCACACCTACCGGTCCACACTGGCCTTCAACATTCCCAACTAGCTCCTCACTGTCCATTTTAGAGCACGAACTGCGCTGGGACACCTCCCTTAACTGATGAAGGCACTACTGGCAATGATTACTAACAAAAAGGCGTTGAGACAGAACACCCTAGAAACCGACGGCTGTAGGATTTTCTAAGTGTGCCACAATCTGGCACAACAACCAGAGTAACAAAACAATTCCAATTTGGAATTTCACTGGTACAGTTGTATAAAATTCTGTTAATCAGTCATGCTTCACAATGTCCTAAAACCCAGAAGATTCTGGAATTTGTAGGTAATACTACTCATTCAATAATTTATCTTTTTGTTTTCAAGTGCCTATTGCTGTTTAACCAGAGCAAAGGTCAAGTTTTCTTCTTGTTACATTGAACTATTCCTAAGAATAATAATAATACAATATGAAAAACCCCAGAATTGGAATACCCTGGATTTCTTAATGAACATGGCATTTAAAATCTGTAATTTCAAACATGAACCATAATGCCGCATAACCTAAAAGGCTGCTGAACCACAGCGTGGCTACGACTGGCCGAGCTCCTTGCCGGGTCGAGGCCTTCACCTAAACAGTCTAGAGCTACACGCTGGGGAAACACGTCCGTGCCACGTGCTGACACCAGATCAACACGGCGGGAGCTAAGACGGAGCGCTACAGGACCACGAGACAGACCACGGCATCTGAGACCGTCTCTATGGGAGGGATTAAGGAAGCAAATATAATAATATCAAAATATCAAAAGTGCACAGGTTGATGGGATATAAAAGGGCATCTGTAACAGGGAGACCCCGGTGTTGAGCGTTTCTAGCGGGTTCTAAGCGAGCCTGATGGCCGCTGTCCGAGCAGGTTCTTCAGCACCGTACAGGCAAGCAGCTGGCGGCATTCTCAACATTAAAGCTTTATGTCCTCTGCCATTAAACACTCAGGGAATGCTAACTTGGAAAGAACTGCAGTGGCATATCCAAACAGGTTTCTAAGTGGACTTTTAGGCTGCCCTTCCTTCCTCTGCGTGGGCCCGCGGGAGGGGGAAGGGCTGCAGTGTGACAGGGCCGCGGCCGAGTCCTCCCGGCAGCTACTCTACAGCTGAAAACGGGAGAAAACAAGACAGCGTTAGAACCGGCACCGGCCCGACCACCGAAGCTCTGGCCGGGCGAGGACGTGGTGCGTTAGTCGGCAGCAGACGCGGAGAAGACCTGCGTGGGTTAGGGGGGCCGTGCCTTGTATGGACAAGAAGCTGCGTGCCAGGCTCGGCGGAGGGAAGAAGCGACGTGCGGGGCCAGCGGGCAGCCAGGCCCCTGGAAGACCCCTCCTCGGGCGGGAGGGGGCCTCGAGACCCAACATCCCGTCAGCAGAGCGGCCCGACCCCTGTCTTCCTGCTCCGGCCGTTGGCCAAACCCAAGGTGGTCCACGCAGCACCTGGAGTCTGCTGGGGATGGGGGGAGGGGCGGGAGCTGTGTGAGGGCAGCGCAGATGCTCCCCGGGGCCATGGAGAGACGAGGCAAGAAGCCCTTCGGGGAGAAGACTGCTGCAGCCTCGCGTCACGCAGCCCCCACTGGGCGACAGGGGTAAATACTGAGAAGTCCTGCTCCCAAATGTGGGAACTCGCGTGGCATGATGCCAAACACCGGGAGCAGAGAGCCCTGCAGCTGCTCACCTGCCACTACCTCCGCGGCCGCACGGCTGGGGCAGGCCACGCACCCGCTGCGGGGTCCCAAACGGGCCTGGGCCCAGGCGGGGTGCCCTTCCCACATGGGGCTGGGCTCTGGCTACAGACGTGGGAGCCCCTCATTTTAGAGCCCTGTGATTGGGATCTGATCGCGAGCAGAGAATGGAAAACCCACCCCGGAGGCTGGGGAACCAACCCCTAAGTATAAACGGACGGGCTCCCTGTGAGGACAGAGTCTGGCCAGGCACTTAAGAAGTTTTTCTCTCGGAAAAAAAAGACAAACCCCAGGCCTGGGACCTGCCGATGTGTCACCTCACAGGCCACCAGACAGGCGTGCAGATCTCAGAGAGGCTGAGCCTGCTGAGCCCTGGTGTCAGGTGTGGCGGGCGTGTCTGAGCCACGTGAGCACGAGCGGGAGGGCCCCCCACCCACAGGCGCCTGGGCTGGAGGACGCGGGGCTGCAGGACGCGGGGCTGCGGGAGGGAATTCTGTTCTCGTGACCCAAATACGACGTGCAGTGAGATGCCGCACAAACTACGAAGGAATCGTCTCTGTAAACTGTGCCAAGCCACGCGCGTCGGCTGAGGCCGTGCCTCGTACTTGGGCCAGAACCTCGAACTGCTGCCGGTCCCGGCGTCGCCGCGCATTAGACACGTGCGGGGAACATGCAAGTTTCAACTCCGGCTCTGTCCCCCTCCCCCTGCAGGAGCCGACGGCGCACAGGCCCTGGGAAGCCACGTTTTTGCAAGGACACCCCCCTCCCGCCACCGAGAGAGTAGCTGCTATGAAGGGCGGTCCCGAGGGGTGAGAACAGACACCAAGCTCACAGGGTCCAGGTGGAAGAGCACGCCGCCTCGGCCAAATCCTTCCCTCTGCGCATTAGTCACGGTTAAGACCAGCCTAGCACCGCAGTCCCGCTGCTGCTGGGTTAGTGGAGGAGAAGCGGACGGGTGGCGTGCGGCAGGGTAGCGGCAGCTGCGGCCCCGTGGCCCTAATCGCAGTAAATGTTATACTTCTCGCCGCAGAGCACCTGGGTGGCGAGCCCGGCACCCTCGGCCCTGTCGCTGGCGCAGGCGCAGGTGTGACTTACGCTCGGGGTGCCCGGCTTGGCCTTGGAGGCGGCCTTGGCGCGGCCCCGCCGGGTCTGCTCGTGGTCCAGCTCGAGCAGTTCCAGCCGCTGGGTCAGCGCCAGCTTCTGCTGGATGGCCATGCGCAGCAGAGAGTTGAGCGTCTTCTTCTCGTCCTCGGCGGCTGCCAGCTGCCGCTGCATCTCATCCAGCTGCGTGATGTACTCGTCACACCTGTGGGGGCGCCAGAGGCAAGAGCGTGGCTGCGGACCCGCACGGAGGGCCTGGCGGGGCGGGCGGGCAGGAACAGACTATGCCCTCAGCGATTCCGCTTTCTCTGGGAAGGGCTCCCAAGCTGGTTTTCTCTAAGGGAGGTGGCCAGGGCATCCAGCCCTCACGGGCAGGACTTGGCATGTTCCCGGATCAGTGCATGCACACAGTAAGTGCTTAGTAAACCACCTAATGGCAACCAGAGTCTGTGAGAGGCACGTATGGACGCACCCCTGTGCGTCCTCTGCTTCACTGGGACATGTGCCCCTCTCCTCATGGAGCTGGGAGAGAGAAACACCCACTCCAGGTCTGTCCCTGAGGGAGGCAGCGCTGGGCACACCTGCCCCTCACCCCCATCCGCCATGTTCCTCCCGCTCCAGGGAGTGAGTTTGTGACCTCGGCTGCATTGGAGAATTCAGCCAAGTTCTTAAACAAAACAGGTTGCAGAAGTGGGGTTTCCAGACACCCACGTGCAGAGAAACTGGTGGTGAGGTCTTTCCCAAGCTCCACCCAGGAGGAGAGGGAGCCCCTAGCGAAGCCTAGAGTCTTCTCTCCTGGTCTTTGCCCCTCTTCTCCTACACGGAGGAGCAGGAGCCCTGATCCAGTTTCTAACCCCATCTAACCCACAGCCTCAGCCTCCCCAGCCTCAAGAAGGCCCTGCCCTGGGTGTCTGCCCAACACCAGCCAGCAGATGGCATTGTGCCCCCTGGCTGGTGGAAACCCCCGAACCCAGGCCCCCAAGAAGCCCCCAGCAATGACTTCCAGGCGGAGGCATCTGGGCACAGGCGTCCACAGCTGGCTGCCCTCCCAAGCCCAATCCCCGACTGGCAGGTCAGATGGGGCACCCCGGGACCCCGCCCCCCGCCTTGCAGGGAACCGTCCCTGTGAATCCACACACTTTTCAGGGAGTCAGGGGGCTAACTCCTTGTCTGTGAGCCCGTGCCCCCTTCACACCTCGCGCCTCCAGCCCGCCCACTGGGACCTGGCCTCTTGGCCTCCTCGTCTTGCATGTAAACCAAGGACAACGCTGGCCCTGCAGCCACGGGAGCAGCGGGCGTTACCTGGTGGCAAACATGGCCCGCAGCGAGGAGAAGGTGGCCGCGTCCTCCTTGAGGGCCTTCAGCTCGTTACGCAGCTTCATCATGGTCTCGGTCACCATGGCCTTCTCATTCTCGTACTTGCTCTTCAGGTTGGCCAGGGCCACCTCGGCCGTCTGCGGATCACACACAAAGGGCACACAGTTGAGGAACGCGGGCAGGGGTCCGCCTGCCTCGGGGAGTCACGCTGGGGGCCCCAGGAGGGAGGAGCCCCGCCTGCCCTGCCCAATGGCCCCGCACCTGCTTGTTGGCCTTGAGGACCGTGCGCAGCGTGGTGATCTGCTCCCGCTTGGTGCTCAGCAGAGACTTCAACTTGAGGATCTCCTCCATGAGTGCCTCCCGGTCCTTATCCGAGGCAGGGCCCAGCTCCTGGGAGGCCAGGCGCTGCCGCGACAGCTCCGTGGTGCGGTCCACGGCTGCCTGCAGGTGCCTGATCTGGTCGCGGATGATGGCGATCAGGTTGTAGATGTTCATGGGCTCCCGGCGTGGGTCACTCAGGGGCGAGGGCAGGGAAGGGCTGGGCGAAGGGCTGCTGTCCCCGGCCCCAGCCTCCGCGGCCGGCGGTCCTTTGGGCAGGACAGGCGAGCGGCGCTCGCGGGCCTCAGGGCTGCCGTGGCCGGCGCCAGCTGCGCCCTCTCGGTAGTAGTCCAGCACGACGCGGGTGGGTGTCTCGTTGTTGCACATGCACACGTGGTGGTAGAGGTTGGCCAGCTCCTCGCTGAAGGTCACCAGCTCGTCCTGGGCCACGCTCAGGCTGCCCTGCGTCTCACCCGCAACATCACTCACCTTCTTCAGCTCCGCCTGCAGCCGGGCCAGCAGCTCGCGGTCCTGGCGGCCGGCCTTCTCCAGCAGGGAGACCTTCTCGGTGAGCGCCTGGCTCTCGGCCTCATGCTGGCCCTTCTCCTCCGCGTGCCGGGCCTCGCCAGCCTCATGTGCACTGCGCAGGGCTTTCAGCTGCTCTCGGAGCTCAGTGGCCTCTGCCAGGGCCGCGCGGTACTTGCAAGCCAGGATCTCAGGGCCGTTGATGTCCACCTCATAGTAGTCACCATCCTCATGGCTGTCCCGCTCCTTCTCGCTGTCCAGGGCCGTCCGCCGTTCCTTGCCGGCCTGCAGGCGCCGCAGGGCACTGAGGTTCTCCGTGAGGCGGCTCACCTCCTCGTGTTGCTCCGACAGGGCGCCCCGCGCCTGCTCCAGCTGCTTCTGTGTGTCCTGCAGTGTCGTCAGCAGGCCCATCTTCTCCCGCTCCAGCTGCAAAAGCACAGGAGGCCCGTCACCAGCCCGCAGGGGCCACACACTCGCAGGACCCCGCCCGCGCCACCGCTGTCACCCTGCAGGTCTGTTAACACGTGCCTTGGGCGTGGCACGTCCACAGAGGCTGCCCAGAGGCTGCCCAGAGGCTGGGGGGCCCCTCCATGGAGATGCGAGGACAAGGGGACAGGTGAGGTGCGGGGGTGGGGGGATTCTGTTCCGTGAAGAGCAGGAAACCCTGAGGTGACTCATCCACAGGACACAGTGCGGGAGCCCACGCGGGGCACCACGAGGGGGCGCAAGGAAAACTGGTGACCAGGGGCCTACTGCTCCAGCACCTCCCCCGCAGCACCGCAGACCCACTTGCGGCAACAACACAGACTTTACAGGAAACACAAATGAGAGGACGGGGGGCAGGACTGGAGGTGGGCAGGACTGGAGGTGGGGACGGCACGCGTGGCCCCAGGGACCCGAGCAGCCCCGAGGACCCTGAGGGCCGCACCCGCACCTGCACCAGCTGCTGCTTCAGCTTCTGGATCTCGGAGATGTTGAGCTCGCTGAGGAGGTCGGACACCAGGCTGGGGGAGGGCGGGGCGAGACCGTCCTTGGAGGGCGTGGAGGTTCTGTTGTCGAGCGGCAGCTTGGCCAGGCCGCCGTGCTCGAAGCCGTTGGCCAGAGCCTCAGCGTCGTCGCCAAGCTTGAGGCCGTCCAGGGAGACGTGCAGGTGGCTGGTGTAGAGGGAGTCGTTGATGCTCATGTAGTGGGACAGCTCCTTGCGCAGACTGAGCTTCTGCTCGCGCTCTGTCTTCAGCGTCTCCAGCGCCTCCTCCAGCTGCCGCTCCGAGATCTCCTTGAGCCTGATGGCGTCCTCCAGCTGGCTGTTGAGGTACTCGGTCTCCTCCTCCAGACGCTTGATCTCGTGCTTGAGGCCCTCGAACTCCACCTGGAAAAAAGGAGCACTCTCCTGTGCCTGAGCGACGGGGGCTCCGCGGCAGGGGATGGGGTGCTGGGGAGGGAGGTGGTCTGGGCACGAGGTGCACAGGAACATCAGCCCACACCCGGGACACTTGTGCACGTGCAAAGTGCGCTGCTCACTCGGCCGGAGACACTACGGAAATCAGAATGCACACATCCCTGCCGCAAATGTGTCCAGTTACTTAAAATGCTACCAGGTGTACCCTGGCTTTAAATCTTATAAAACTGGGGGTGCCTGGGCAGCTCAGTAGGTTGGGCATCTGACTCTTGACTTCAGCTCAGGTCATGATCCCCAGGTTGTGGGGATCAAGCCCCACACTGGCTCTGTGCCAAGCCCGGAGCCTGCGTAAGATTCTCTCTCAAAATAAAAAATCAAAGGTAAGTAAATTCTACACAGCTACTTAATTAACATTAAATATTTTAAGAAATATAAAACACATACCTACATGTGTGCTATGACCATCACTCCTAATTGTATCTCAGGTCACAGGTACAGGCGCCCTGCGTCTCGGGGGGCAACCAGCCCTACAGGCAGAGCTGAGTTCTCTGGTCTAGGAGAGGCCGGGCCCTGGCTGCACCTCCATCCCCGGCAGTGTGCTGTGCAGCCCTGGGCTCGGCTGTGGGAAGGAGGCAGGGCAGCACCCTGGGAGCACGGACACTTGCCTGGTTCTGCCTGAGCACGGACACCTGCTTCTGCAGGCTGATGTTCTCCTCCTCCAGCTCCGAGTAGTCCTGCAGCAGACGGGCCTCTCGGAACTTGTACTCCTTGATATCATCCCGCAGCCGGCCACGCTGGGTCTCCACGTTCTGGTTGATCTGCCGAGAAGGAGTGGGGTGTGGGCAGCCGACCACGGGCAGTGTGCTCTGGGGTGCACAGTAATGGGTCTCAGCCTGATCTGACCCCTGGTGTCCTCATCTGTAAAATGGCTAAAAGCAGTTCCTTCCCTCACAGGCTGCAGCTACTTAAACAGCTCAGCACACCTGGCCCAGCGATGCCTCCTCGGCACCCTGATCCCAGAGAAACAAAAACAGGTCCACACAAAAACTTGTGCCCAAGTGTTCAGGCAGCATTATTCACAGCAACCAAATATGGAAACATCCCAAAAGCTCACCAACCGATGAGCAAATAAACAATATGTGGTCCAATCACACAAGGGGATGTCATTCAGCTATAACACGGGCTGCGGTGAACCCTGAACCACCACGAGGTGGTGTTCCCACTGTGTGATTCCCACACACGGGACATGGGCAGAGCAGGCTAATCCACAGAGAGAGAGGAGGCAGGAAGTGGGGTGGGAGGGGTAGGGAGTACCTGGAGGGGCTTCCCTCTGGAGTGATGGAAAATTCAGGGATGGATCTGGGACGGTGCATGAATCTGTGTGCACACTGAGCGGGTGAGCCGTCAGGGATGTGGATTATGTCACACATCCTTGAGGGTGCAGGTATCACGCGGAGAAAGTGGCCGACACAGACCTGTGCGCACTGCGCGACCGAGACTCAGGATTTCCCAACCTGCCACCACCAGGCGCTGGGCCCCTCGACCTCAGTCCTTCCGACATTCCGGCCGTCCTGGGTGTTACAGGAGGTTCAGCAGCCCCCTGCCTGCTGGAGGCAGCTCCATCCCGCCCTGAGGCAACTGAAACCATTGCAGACACAGCCAGTACCCCCTCGGGGTAGGGCTGACCCTACAACAAACCCTGTTTCCCACCCGCCCTGTTTCCAGGCTCCAGGTGGCATCTGGTGCCCCCAGGCCAGGCCAGCCCACCAGGGTCCTCCGGCAGAAACGCCGACGCCTCCCAGACCCCCTTCTTCTGCCCTCTCCCCTGACACACGGCCTCTCCACTGGTGCCAGGCCTTCTCGTGATCACATCCATGCTTTGCAGACAAGATTCCAAGATTCCGTGCAGGGAAAACCAGTACAATAATGCTGCACTGGGAAAATGAAATAGGACCAGGAAGAAAAACATGAGAGCAACAGGAGGAGGGAGTTGTTCTACACAAGCACTCCTGACAATGTCACTACCAGAGTCTCCAGCAAAGTGACCCAAGGAGGTGGCCAAAAGCTGACACCAGAAGACACAGACACCAAGTTACAGACTGGCGGAAAATCAAGGCCCACCCAGAGAGCAAAACTCCTGTTAAACAGGAAAAAATAAGTAAAATAACACAGGAGGAGTGGCGACAAGACGAAACACAGTTACTCCCATTTATCCGGAGGGGCAGCTGGAAACGCCTAACGACACTGCACTCGGTCCTCAGTGCGGGCCGCTTCCCGCCACGGTCGGTGTCAGAGCCAACTTGGTGCAGCATCGGGCCCAATGCCAGTCTAGCTGCCACCATGCTGACTGCACGGGTGAGAGTGACATGTGACTTAGCAGAGCACCCTCCATCGTGCCGTGGGCCTCATCCAATTAGCCAGAAGTCATAAAGAACAGACCAGAATTCTCAGGAAGGAGGAATTCTGCCTCCAGATCCCTTCAGACTCCAGCTGTTCCCCAGGTCTCCAGCCTTTGGCCCACCCTGCAGATTCTGGACCCACGCGCCCCCACAATCACAAGAGCCAATTCCTGACACTAACTCTCTCACTCACACACACAGTGTCTCTGGGTCTATTGCTCTGGACAGTCCTCACCACCAACACGATGACGGATCTGTAAGAACTGGGACTGTGTGCTCACCACTGCCGCGCGGCCACAGCAGGCTGGTTCTTCCCAACTGCGGCTCGGCCCACCCTGGCCCGATGCACCTGCAGGGAGCACCGGTCCACTCTGCACAGAGGACACAGGAGGGGAGATGGGGGGTTGGCCCTGAGAGGGACAGAAAGAGGAGGTGCTGCCTGCCAGGGGCCCCCCCAGGCCCTCCGCACCCCAGAACCTGAGCACCAGGCAGCACTACTGAGGTGAAGCTGCACACGGCCTCTGTCCTTCATTGAAAGTTAACTGTCATCCTGTAAGACCACCCTTGGAAAGTGCACACCTCAGCGGCTTTAGTTTGCTCCGTGTTCACGGCTACCCAGACCCAGAGCACTTCCTCACTTTCCGTGAAGGACAAGAAGTGCTTGCTCATCCGTCCACTGGAAGCGCCTCGCTCTCTGTCCTAAGTCACTTTGTTTGGGTGCAGGAGTTGCTCTAATATGTGTGGCACAGCCTGGCACAGCCACCTGGGGTGGAAGCCCTGGCCTGAAACCGGCCAGCTACCCGCAGGTTTGTACGGCAAGACCAACAGGCTGGAAGGCCGACCAGATTGCAGAAACAGAAGCAAGGGGCATGGCCCCCCCACGGCCAGGGCCAACTCGGCCTTCCCAACCCAGAGTGACGCGTCTGTGGTGCGGCCCACCTGGGTGCCCAGGAGTCACATCCCACCCTACTCTGTCGCCAGGAACTATGATACAGCCTCCACTCATAAGCACCGGGGCCGACGAAGAGCACACGGGCCCCGTGGGCAGCCAGGTAAGGCGCGCGCAGCCCACAAGCTGGCCCAGACGCCAGGTGGCAGGTGAGGGCGCCGCGTGCTGATGCTGCAGGAACCCAACACCTCACTCTGGTTCCCACACAGACAGGGCACCTCCGCCTGGCCCACACCCGACTCCAAGGCTCAAACAAGCTCCAACTGGCCACCACACAGTGTGGTTTTCCCCAAAGTCAGCATCTTCTCCCAAGGAGCCTGTCAACAGCGGCCCTGATGACGGGCACAAGGTGCAGACACGTGGCCCCAACAGGGTGCAGCCCAAGTGGACAAGGTGGGGCACACGAGGACCCCCCAGACCTCAGCTTCCTCGTCGGCAAAACAGGTGTGACAACGGGGCTGGCCTTCGAGCCCCCAGCCCATCTACCCAACATGCTCACACCTCAGCCCCCAGCTGCCCTGAGGAGAGTGTGGGAGCAGACACTGCCCTTCAGTGAGGACAGTGCGCAAGGGCCCATGGAGGGCAGGCACGTGGGACTCACTCCAGTGAGATGGCGGTCCTCATGTGGACAGAGAAGCACCTTCGTCCTTCCAGCCAGGCCTCTGCCCACCCTCCCTGTCCACCCCAAGAGGGAGGGAGGCTCCCCAGGTGGATGTATGTGGGGCGAGGGTGGGGGGACAGACGTGCCTGGAAGGTTCTAGACCAGGGGTGACACTCTAGGTCTGGGTGATGGGGGAGGAGGAGGAGCAAGGAGACAGAGACAGGAAGGAGCATCGGGAGAGGGACCCCAGGGACCAGCCTCACTCGGGTGCTTATGACAGCCAGACAGAGGGACACAAAGTGGTCCCACGGGTGGGGGCTCTCTCCTCCTGGCCCTCCACTGTACCTCCCACTGCCCTTCTCCCAGGGGTTCCTAGGGAGGTGCTGAGCGATGACCCAGCTGGACCCACTGTCTCAAGGCAGGCACTGAAGCCGGTCTGACCAGAGTCCTGGGATGGGCCAAGCAATGTGGCTTCTGCAGGGATGGGGCTGGTTCCAAAGCTCTGTTGTACACGTGGCAGTTGAGAGACCCACGGGACTAGATACCTTAGTGGAACTAACTGTATATAATACACTAGAACTGGGTTCCTAGGAAGCCATGCCCACAGCTGCAGCCACCAGAAGAGCTGGCCCTGGGGAGGCAGGACGGGGCACGGCAGGTGCGCCTGCCTGGGCCCAGGAGGCACCTTCTCCTGGCTGTGCAGGGATCCCCAAAGTGCCTGGGCAGGTAAGGGTTTTCCTGTGAGACTGCAGAGGCCAGGGGAGGAGTGTTCACCGTGTGTGTGTGTGTGTGTGTGTGTGGTGTGTGTGTGTGTGTGGT